ACATTGATTTTACAATAATGTCAACTTTAATGATTCACTGTTATTTGACTTTATTCAACCTGTTTTGCTCGCCTCTCCAAATAATATATACAGAATGTTGTTTTATTAAAATAGTTTTTGATCTTTACTATGTGATTTTAATAAAGATCCTAAATAGTGTTGGAAGCCGTCTTTATGAACAGTTCAGTGATATTTGGAGGTATTAAATCTTATAATCTTACTTGTTCGTATTATACTTCTCAATTCAGTCAATATTTTCGTTGGCTAACTACTCAATCACTCACTCTCTTGCCTTTGACTTTGAAGTATTTATGACTAGAGAACTAGTCTGAACTAATAGCACCAGGTAATGTGTGTCGAAATCACTCTCAGTAGATAAAATTTGGATTCTGAATCTATATGAGTGTAAAGGTCAAAAATGAGTTTCAAAGGGGTAAATCCAACAGATTGGTTAGACAAAAGTCAACGCCTGTTTTTAATATTTTTACAGCATTTCGAGCATTTAAATGTACAAGTAAGTTGTGAGTGTTGATTGCCAATGATATAGCTGCATATCCAAATACCGCTACGCTTCTGTCTCTTGGATATTACTTCATGTATGGCTTATGTTTCTTAAGGTATAAACAAATTCATTCTTATTCAACAACAAATTTTGTAAAGACTACATGTAAACTTACTAATAACTAATGGAGACGGATGCATGTTTTTGGAAGTAGATCTGAATAATTTTAAACTGTTAAACTGCCATAATTTTTACCAATATTATTTATAAATTTAGCACGACAAGTGAAATGCATTGACTACTCAAAGTAAAACATAAATATTCTGTTTCTTAGATTTCTCCTCCGATACAAAATGACAAAATTTTAATTGATATATGAACTAGGAATTTATATGTGATCCACACTCAACAAGACTGGTCTTCCCTGGAACACGGAATTATTAATTAGCATCCCATTTTATTTTATCTAATGTTACTGTCAACACTAAAAAAGTATTATTGTTATCAGTTTAGAATGTGTATTTGAGGTAGGTGAATATCTCAGGTAAATAATGACAAATTTTTGATCAATTCTGTCGTTCAATCGATTATATCGACTTTACTTTTCGTTTGATGTTAATCTTTGTTTTTGTTCTATAACCGATATTTATTAACTTACAAGTCGTTCTGTAGCTAAGTTTTAACAGAATATAAAGCTATCTATATGAATATATTGTTATTTTAATAAAGAAATGAACTTCACCACTAAATTTGAAGGATTTTACTAAGAAATAACAGGATTTACATAAGCGTGTGTAATTAATGACCAATTTCAACATACTTCACGAATTTACCACGTTGAAATGTGATATCATTTACCAATCTACATAGTATAGAATTCACACATTTCTGAACAAAATAGAACAACAAGATACGATGATGAAAAAAAGCAGTCGATATTGAAACTATGTAAGTAGTCAAATGATCCAAAAGCTATTAAAACAAATAACTATGTAAATTAGTTAATATTTCAATAACCTAGTAGTGTTTACGCATCAAAGGTAATAGAAAGTTTAAGTTATGGTGAAACCAATTATTTTTTAGATTCATACTCAAGATCATCATGGTGTTATCACTGAACCATACCATCAAATCAAAATAGGTCGCTTGGTATTGATCATATGACAAGTAACTGAAATGAGATTGTGTAATGAATTTCTTTATCTAGCTGTATTAGGTTTTTGTTGTATGGAATATAAGTTTCTCGAAGAGGTGTTTTGAGAATGCCATAAAACGGGAAGACTTGTATATATATTTTTATAATCAAAAAGTATGTTTTGATATGGATTACTATGAACACTGAATAAATTACAGATGTCTTAAGAGAAAAGGATACTATGATAAAGTCGTTGTCCATCAATAATATTTTGTAGGCTCTGCTAGAGGAGTTCGTAAAGATAACGTGGAGAGAAGGTGGAGACTGCTAATAAGCTATATTTGCCCCATATGAAGGGAAAGTGGTTATCAGTTTTATAAATGAAATAGTCTGATATCACGATAAGAAGAACGATTTATGAACGTGAAGAAATTTATAATTGTTTTACAAACTATGTACATTCTCTGGGTTATATTTGCTTCGTATTATAAATCATTCTTTCATAAAACCTAGTTTTTGATTAACTAAGAATCGGGTGTTTTTGTGCAAGGTTAATTTAAGTATCCTTCAATAATAACGTACGACGGTGTACAGGTCGTCAGTATTATCTACTACAAATGTACGGGATGGTTTAAATGTTACACACATAAACCAAAAATATCATCCGACAGTTTAATTTTTTTAATTAATACATAATAATATATGAAGAAATATGTAGAGTATTAACGACTGTGTTTGTTATATTAAAATACAGCTTATATGTTGTTAATTATCAACCTTATTTAAATATTGAACTTTGTATCTTAGGAATCTTGTAAAATTAATTGATCGACTTTTCCAGAACCACAGATTCTCCTGATTTTTATGAATATCACTTTGTGTTTTACTTTTATGCATTAGTAGCGCTAACACATACTTGATGCTGTAAGGAGCTATAATACTTTTTTTCAAGTTGATTTTCGATTACAACTGTCTTTTAATAAATGGCTTATGAAGTACATTTGGATGCTCTGATTTGATTAACGATTAGATGAATTTACTGTCTTGATGATAATTCATTCTAGGACAAGTTGATTACAATCCTAACATATTTTTGTATTGAACTAGTACATTATCGAAATTGAACTACTACAAAAATAACCTAGAAATTCAGATGTTCATTCCGTCCTGGATTAAAATGGTTGCTTAGTAGGAAGTCAATCAGTGATACAAAACGTCACTATAGAATACATGTAATTTCCGGCAACGTGTATACATGCATTTTTCCGAAATTTTGTACCGACTAAGAAACTATTGAAGGAGGACAGATTTCTTCAAACCGCAGTAATTTCAAGTATTACCATTGTTGAATGGAGTATCTATATAACTTTTTTTGCAATGGAATTAAAGAATATACGAAGGAAAGCAAAAGTATCACCTCACCATTGTTGTCACAAAGGGATCCCACATCATTTATTTCATGGGAGAGGTGATATGGTATCCAAGGATTAGGTCCAACAGTCACATTATAATTGATTGAAGAATGAGTGACCGGAAAGCTAATTTCTTGCAATTGGTTCCCTTTATGAAATTGAATAAAGCCAGAACAAACACTGATGCAGAATAATGTGAATTCATTATATTTCGTGGTTTTTCATCGGCTGCTTACAACCAAATATATGTTTAAAATTAATATTGAGGTAAGATATAATGGTATTCTTATGTTGTATTCATAAACTAAATTATTGATTAATCAGCGTCAAGTACAACTCAATTGGATTTATTTAAAATGTAACTATGATTCAATGTGAATAAGAAGTAAAAATATTAGTCTTGATCTATTTTTAATGTCAAGTCAGATCACCTTTCATCCGTCTTTCCGATCTCCGTTAAGCCGAGTCAACTCAGTCTGAAGGCGATATCATCATTACAAACAAATCAGTTTCAGTCGTAACAGTTAGGCACAATTTTAATTATAGTTACTAAACTTGATAAATTATCACTGAAAATAACTTTTCAGCTTACAATTAATGGAACAAATTCTTGCTACGGGTAAAGAAAATGTAACACCATTCATGAGTCAAATAAAGAACAGATTTATTATAAGTATAACGAATTATTCACAATTGATTGATCACTGGGTGGTGATCAATGTCATGTGTGTCAAGTCCTTATTTAGTGCAGATCGAATGCACGAAATCCGGGTCCAAGGTTTCCTGTCGACTAGCTCCAACCACCATCTAATCTCAATATATATTGCACGCAGTGTCGAGTCACCTAGACTGGTGGCCACATTGCAACATGATCGATAGCATTCGATCGGCACTAATAAGGACTTGACACAAATGACATTGATCACCACCCAGTGATCAATCAATTGTGATTACATCTCAGTCCTACAGGAGGTCGGTCGCGGCCGATAACTCAGTGATAACGTCTCTGACTGTGAAGCTGGGTGACACGGGATCGAATCCGCCAGGGTGCACCAGTTCCCTCAAGATTACAGGTACACCTTGCTGACGAGTGCCAAGTAGCAGGAAACCCGGGTCCAGGGTTTCCTGTCGACTACCTCCAACCACCATCTAATAATGAATTAGTGCTTAAACATTTCTGAAAAAATCGTTTGATTCAGTTCATTTACCTCAGTAAACGAAGTATCGAAGTTAATGCGAAGCAATCCTTATCAGATAAATATGTTTTCCTATGCCACATTTTTACACCACAATAGATATTTATATGATGATATTTTCGGTACATTTGTCTATAATAATCACAGAAATTAGGCGCCCCCCCCCCAACAAATGACCGAGATAAAAATGTGTTCGTCACTCTACACAGATGTGAAGTATAATCTAATATTAAATATGACCTGTCTACCTCTTCTTCATTTATGTTTGGCTAGTTTGTTGAAAGTGAACCACATATTAAGTGTGCATATATATATATATATAAATTGTATGTTTGTTCATCCATCTTTGGTTATACTTTGTCTGCTTCTATTAGAGAAATGTCACATCATCAAAACATGTATTCATATGTGTGTCTGTAATTTTTGTAAATGTAAAATAATGATAATGATAAAGGTGTATATATAGATAGATATATATATTTCCATAGTTTCGTTGATGACCTTAGTTTTTATGAAACGGATACTAGTTCTCTTTCATCAAGAAGAAAATTAAAGACAAACACACACATACATCATAGTTCAATACACACCTATAATAATATCTCCTGTTTTATAAATGACAAAATATTATGAAGGCCATTAAGGATTCCACGAAAATGTCTTCTTGGAAAATGGATTTTTAATTCAGTACAAGTAATCAGTGGATCTTTACCACATACATATATATATATATGTATATAATACATACATAAATATAAATATTTGTACATGACACATAAACTAACGAACTAAAAAGGGCACCGGTGTATTTTTATGGTATTTCCATTTGATTTTAAATGGATTAATAATAAATTAGTATAGTTTGACATTGAACAAAAACGAATGTCTACAAATTATTCACAATCTAATAATGACAATGACACTTGTCAACATGATTTATTACATGATAAACAACAGTTTGGAATATATAATAAACAAAATAAGAACGATATTAATGATTATTATTCGAAAATTTTATCAAATCCTATTATCTCTTCATTGGGTCACAATTTACAACGTATCCAGATAACGACTGCAACAACATTAAGTACAAGTGGTTGTACAATGGAATATGCTAGAATTAATACAACACATGATATTGTTCCTTCTGAAATACAACAGAGTAAGAATAAAAGTTTAAATGCTGCAATGGTTGCTCATCTTCATCAATTAGAAGTACGTAATCAAAGATTGGAAAAAGAGAAAATTAGTCTTGAACATCAATTGGCTCATATTCTTAAACGGTTGACAACAGATCAAACTATTAATAAAAATGAACATTTAAATAATGAAAACAGAGGTGAAGAACAACAGCGAAATCAATCATTGTCATCTGTTAACCAGAATGAACAATCATTAGTTGAAGAGAAAGGTTATAATCATCGGTATGATGAAAAATTATTATTGAAACATGCACCAATCGCTTGTTATGATGATTTGACAGATAGAAGTTTACTCGAATCATTAAGTGGATTTAGTTTAGGTGAATATTCAAGCTTATCCGATGCTTATGATGATATATGTTTAAATAAAAATCTTGTGAATGATGTAAATGATTCAGATCTATCAGAATTATTTTACAATGAACAAAAAACATTAACTCATGATAATAAGTGTAACGCAAATCAAATAATCACTGAACAATCAACACATAGAAAACACAGCGAGATGAATCAAAATGAAGCTGATAATCGGCAATCATTTATGAAATTTGGGAAAGAAATAAAACAGTCTAAAGAATGTTCATCACTTTCACCTGAGGAATTAATGATTTACAGACCGGATGAACGAGTACATTATGATGATAACGATAACAATAGTGAAAGTTACTATAACACCAGCTCATCATCGATTAGTCCATCACCGAAATCTGGCATTCAACGAAGAACATTATCATCTCGTATGAAACGAGTTATCGTAACACGTAACGAAAGATTATCTAGTTCACTCTCTGTTGAATCGTATAACTCATCAAGTGATTCTATGATAATCAATAACAACAGAATACATGATAATGAACAAGTGATTAACTTAAATTATTATAATAACATGCATAATCAGTCTACATCCTTACCAGTTTCACCAGTTACCTCGAAAAATTGGATGTCTAAAAGCGATTTCTTAAAATCGATGAAGGATTATACAACAGCATCAAAACTCTCTTCAAAAATCAATAGATTACTTGATTCAACCATTATTTCTACACTATATCCAGGTGGAATATGTAAAAGTATTCACCAACAAAATAATTCAAACAAGAGGAGATCTGATATTTCTGAAGCTTCCAATCCAACTACTTTTAATTCAAATACACCACAATCACAGAATAAAAACAGTATGATTTCTATAAACAAAAATAACCTGATTAATGGTCCACCAAAAATTCACATATCAAGAAAACACTTATATGAACCGAAAGAATGTATACGATTCAGTGATACAAGTAGTTCAATTAATCAAATTGAAAAAATTGATGATAATTTATTAAAATCATTATCTCATACTAAAAATATTGAAATAACTAGTTTAAATGATAATCAATCGATTAAATATAGTGTAATACCTTATCTAAAAAAATCAATACAACAAAATGTACAACCTACAAATATGGATCAATCAATATACAATGTTCCAATCAATAGTTTATCTTGTAAACAAATGATGATGATTGAGTCATCATCATTATCATCAGAAGATCAATTACCATATACACAATTAACTATAGGATCAATAAATGATTTTTTAAATACTAATTTAGAAACATCATTTTGTATTGATTTAAATTATTTATTAGCTAATGAAAAAAATCAATTAGCTTTAAAATATCTTTCGCAATGTATTAAATCTTTCGAAGTATTCACATGTATTTCAGGAGTTGCATATTTATTACAAAATATTAAATTAAATTTAATTCATTTAATGCCTATACTAATAAAACAAACCAATGAATGTATTACAATCAATTATGATCAATCAAGTGAAACGAATTCTGAGCCAAGTATACATCAAACTATTGATTTGAATCAATGTTTAATGATCAATTTAAACAAACCAATCGATTCATTATCAATAAAATCAATAAAACAATTTGAAAATTTATCAAATGATTTATATAATTTAAAATCTAATACATTTGAATCATATCAAACAAATTTATTAAAACAATCAAATATATTTGATAATTTATCAATTTTAAATGATGAAAATAAATTATCTATTTGTGAAAATTATTCTGGTGTTTTATTAAAATTAAATAATCATTTGAAAATATGGCATCATTATTGGTGTATACTTACATCGAAAGGTTTATTTCTTCATCAATGTCAACCAATTATCACATTGAATCAATCTACAACAATCAATCAACCGAAAAAAGTTATTCTTTACACGGATATTCATAATGTACGTCGTCCAACGAATATGTCAACATCAATAAATCAATTGATGTGTTCAAGTTTACCTAAGAATGATTCATTATTATTATTATCATCTGAATCAGCAACAACAGCGACAGCATCGACTACACGTAATAATATAGAAACACGTCCAAATGTTAGTGCACCAGTTTCACGTAAATTTACACATATTGAAAGTATGCCCAAAATTCGTGTAGAAAAATATTTTGAATTGATATTACATAATAAGAAAGTGTATCGACTACGCGGTGTAACTAGCCAAGAAACAACGAAGTGGTTAAGTTTGATAAAAAATATGCTTCGAATCAATGAAGCTGAACAGATACTGAATAAATATAAATCACAAATTATTAAAGAGGGTTGGTTGAAACGTGTGAGAAAAGGTCAGATTGCATGGTTTTGGTGTCGTCTAGCCGGTTTCTATTTGATTTATTCATTAAGTCCACAGAGTACAGTCCCAGTTGGTTGCAAAAATTTGAAAAATTCATACATACGTTTAATTGGCAATCAAACATCTAGCCTAGAAAGCGGTGTAACACAAAGAACAAATAAACCATGCAATATATCCACAGATTTTCATGATTCTGGCCAATTACTTACATCTAGTTCAGATTCAGATTCCCTTTTGATTAGTTTAAATTGTTCAAAATTAAATCAAGAACGACAACAAACAATTAAAATATGGACACCAGAACATGAACCTATTTATTTATTATGTCCTACAGTTGAAGAATGTGAACAGTGGAGAGATAGTTTAATTCGGGCGACATTACACTCTCCCACAATTATTGATTCTAGTGACATACAAAAGTCACCGTTATCATCATCAACATCACCATCCATTAAATTATTTGAAAATATTCGAGAAATATGGAAACAACTAGTAAATTCATCACATATAAATAATTTATATCATTCTATTGTTTCAATTAAAGAGCCTATTTCAAAAACCATATCAATTGAATACACCGAGATTAGTTTACGATTATTTAATCATTTACTATTTCTTTGTCATCCACAAATTGATTTAATTGACAATTCAAATTTACATTCTATAGAAATACCATTAAACTGTTTAATCAATAGTTCACAATGGTTAACATTAAAATATTTAATTATGAAACAAATAGTATACTTTTGTTTAAAATATCCCATATTAAAAGATGAACTTTATTTACAATTAATTAAACAAGTAATTTTTGCTGGTATACATACAAAACAAATACCAAAAGATGCTTATATAGTTTTATTTAAAAATAAAATTATAAAACGTACTTTTGCAATACTTACATGTACTAAAAGTCAAGAATTAACAGATGAATCAAATCTTATCACTAGTCATTTGAAATATTGTAATAATTTTAAACAGAATGAAGGAAGTACTTTTCATCTTCAAATTGGAAATCGGTACAAACAATCATTACCTGAAGTTATATCTCAATTAACCTTATCACCGATAGCTAAGTTGATTATACCATTAACTAATTTGAATAATAATCGGAAACCAGAACATTGGTGGCCTTCTATAGCAATCTGGGAATGTCTATGTTTATTTTTAACATTTATGTTACCATCCGATCCAGTTGTAGAATGTCTTCAACAAGTTTTCAAATTATACATGGATCCAATACGTTTAATTTCATCAACAGGATTATCCAATGAAATTGATCCATATGAGAAAGGGAAATCAGAAGGTGTACAATTGAAAACTAGATATTTCACAGAAATTGCTGGCTATGCAGCATTTTGTCATGATACATTAAACCGAACTAAACTATATGGTGGTCGCGATCAATATCCATCAGTTTTAGAAGTGTTCACTATATCCATACGTAATCCTTACATGCATGTATATCCTTTCTCATTACCAATTTACTTACCATTTGGATCCAATTATGAAGTGGTCAACTTTCATGGTAGTTCTACAATACAAGATTTACAAATGCAAATTATTGAAAAACTTGGATTTCATGAAATCAGTTGTAAACATACAATTCTATTTGGTATATATTTATGTTTAGGTGAATCAGTTATAGAATCAAAACATATTTATTTAAATCCACAATGGAAAATATGTGATATCATTTCTATACATGAACAATTTACATTAGAACATTTATTAACTAATAATCAATCAAAACAAAAACAAGAACAACCACAACAACAAATCAATTCAATTAGAATTGATCAAATTACAATTAAACTTTTATTTAAAGTACAAACATTTACATGGAAAATTCTACATCATTTAATATTGAATAAATCAAATATATTTTTATTAAATTTTATAGTACATCAATTACATGCAAATATTTTAGCAAATAATTATCAAATACCAATACGTGGTATTGATTTTATTGATTTAATTGTTTATTTATGTCGTGCTGATTATTATGATTATTCTGAATTACAAAAACGTCATGAACAAATAACATTTACTGAATTATTAAAAAGTTATTTTCCTATTCATTGGTTATCCTGTAATGATAATAATAATAATAATGATCCAACTGATTCACAATCATTTATACAGATCAAATTAATCATATTAGATCGTTGGACAAAATTAACCAAATGTTCATTCAATACAAAATCTCATTTCAATAAATGTAATATCAATATAAATAATAAAAATGATGATAATAATCATAAACCGGATCATGAAAACCAAATAGATTTAGCTACATTTTATGCATGTTTTAATTATTTAAAACATTTAAAACGTTTATATCCTTATCGATTTTCATGTTCAGCCTATATTGCTCGTGTGAATAATTTAATATCAATACATGATAATCAATTAATATGGATTGTACCACAAGAAGATAAAATTAATTTATTAACATGTGGTACATTTCAATTAACAAATTTAGAAATATTAAATCAAATAAATCTATTAGGATCAAATCAAATTTATTGTTTAAAATCAATATTATATAAAAATATTATAGCATATGGTAGTCAAAAGAATGGAATATTTTTTCTTGTTTATATGGAATATACAAATCCATCGGAACAATATGGAACAACATCTAAACATATAAACAATTATGATGTTTTATCAAAACAATATATAAATCAAATCAAAAATACTAATTATTATCCATTCACTTCATTATCATTATCATCATCATCATCAAATTTTGTAAATAGTAACCAAAGAAATATAACTCAACATCAACCATATTATTATAATAATAATAATAAAGAATGGAAATTATTGAATACACATCAAAGTATAACAGTGAGAAAGTTAAGATTTTTTTTAACTGATTTACATGCTGTAATGGATTTAACGAATGTACTTACATTTTTAATAAATATTCAACAGAAATCTGAGATCATTTGAAAAAAAGATCATATACATGAGAAGAAAAAGGGTTATTGTATGTAAGAATAAGTTGATCATTAAAATTTTAAAATAAATTGGTTACTATGGAGATAAAATAATTTTGTCAATACAAATCATGAAAAGATTAAATCAAATCTCTTATAGGTGTATATTATTATCATTATTATTACAGACGATTAAATAAAAAGTAAATTATCAATGTTTGTATGGTGTGATTTGTATAAAAATTTATTTTTTTAGTCATTTTATTACCATTTTTATAAAGAAATCACGATTGCTTATTATATATATATATATATATATATATATATATATATATATATATATATATTCGTACATATCTTTTAGAAATACATTTGTGTACATATATATTAACCAAATTGTTTATTCATTCCATTTATAAATTCTTTTATTTGTAAAAGATTAACACTTCTAGTTTCTGTACATACAATTAAACTTTTCTTTATTGACTCCTTCTCTTTGATCAATCTTCTTTCTTCTATTTTCACTATTATACACGCACAAATCCACATACGTACATACGGTTTTTCAAGTTTTCTGTTTCCCTAATGATGTTTTTTATTTTTATTTTTCAAATTGTTGCAATCTTACTTTTTATTTATAGTCATTATTGCTTAGATGATCAATTGTTGTTTATTTATATTAAAAGGAAACATTAAGGAACATTACAAGTTTTAATGTTTATATTTAGTTTTTATTTAATAACAATTTAATAGAATATAATTTAAAGAAACATATTTTTTAGAACGAAAAAATAAACACATTTCTAATGATGAATGATTTCATTCCTTATAAAATAGAAATCATCATTTTTTTGTAAAAATGAATCAATTAAATAACAAATTACTCTTTATTGATTAATTAATTAATGAAAGTCTCATTTTGTTTTGTCTTGTTTGTACAAACAACTTTTCTAGAACAATGTAAATAACTCACTAAATAAATAAGTATTTTATTTATTTACTTATGAATTTCATTTATTTCAAAAGAAAAATTTAGTGTCAACTAATTTCATCACACAATTAAAAAAAAACAAAAGTATTAGTTTAATGAATTTTATGGTTGATTGTAAATTGTATCTAAAGTACTTAAGTACTTAATTACGCCTGTTACTCCCAGTGTAGTACAGGATGCTGACCAGCATTCTCCAACCCACTCTGTCATGAGACTTCATTTCGAGTTCTGTCCAATTTTTGTTCATTTTTCTCATGTCTGTCTCCTTTTCTTGATGTAATGTATTCTGTGGTCTTCCTCTTTCCCTTTGGCCTGGAGGATTCCATGTGAGGGCTTGCCTTGTGACACAGTTGGGTGCTTTCCTTAACATGTGTCCTATCCATTTCCAGCGCTTCTTCCTCCATTGGAATCTGGTTTGTTCTCTCCCTCAATAGGTTGGTGCTGATAGTGTCTGGCCAACGGATCCGAAGTACTTTTAGTAGACAACTGTTAATAAATACTTGTATCTTCTAGATGATGGCTTTCGTAGTTCTCCAGGTTTCACCCTGTATAGTAGAACTGTTTTGACATGTGTATTGTATTGTATCTAAATTAATAAGAAATAATTGAAAAAAGTATCGATATTAAATAAGAATTGATAAACGGTTGATTATATATATAATTAAACAAAGATTTTTGAGAACAAAGACAAACGGTCATGTGACTAACTAGTTAGAAAGATATTTAGTATCTATCTGATTACATTCAGATGGGATAAATGATAGACAAAAAAAGGTAGGACTTAACCAAGTGTTATGATTGTATAATTTACAATATTTAGTTTTTAGTGGGGCCCTTTATTTTGTCGCCGTTTAGATCGGACGATGTTGTCGACGCGCTCTCCACTTTGGCGGCCCGAGTTCTGACTTCAAGTATATCATATGAATGATTGTTATTGAAATCTATATATGTCACCTATCCTCGTATATAATCATCGACTTCAATAGCGTTAGTCAATAACAGAATTAAATAAGTCAAATACGAGAATGGTCTTTTGAATACATATATTTTGCATATAAAGCGAATGGAATAGAGCGAAGCAAAACGACGCTCAATGGAGATGGAGGGTAAGCCAACTCCACTTAGTCGAGCGTTAATTAATATTTATAGTCACACAAAAATCAGTTACAGAAATGTGATGAATAGGATAAGAAATGTACACACACATATGCGCTCATATAAAAACAGTTAAGATTGATAAGCGAATAATCAACAAAGTAAAACTATGACTCAAGCAGAATGAATAGATTGGCCTGTCCGAAAGCTAGAATAAGGTATATGGACTTAACATTATAACCGACACTATAAGTTGTTTCTTTTTCGTATACATACAGAAAAATAGATTAGTAGATAAGTAAAGTATGTAGTGAAATATCTTCAGGATATATATCAATCGTCCTGATAACCATTACTAGTTAACTCTCATGAGCGTACAAATTTTAGAAGATAATAAAGTGTTGGCTGTGGTCGATTATCGTTTATCGTACAGCTCAAATAAAGTTACAAATACACAAAGCGCATATGAAAAAAATACAAGTACGAGTAGAATGAAATAATAGGATTTGAGAAGCTGATATATCACCGGAAAATGGTCTATCATCGAGTTATTTAAGCAACTGACACAAGCTAGTAGGAGGGTTACTCATATAGGGTGTAACACGTAATCAAGCATTTATACTCGTACAGACATGGTGATAATAACTAAACAAAGTTATCTAAAAATTGCTAATGTTTGAATGACACTGTCTACCAAAGAAGTTAATTGAAGGGCTTAACAAAATTAAATGTAGACTGACTCAAGTGTAGACGATGAGTTATGGTCAATTGGTAGTAGATAAGTTACTAGTTGTAAATTCCATTGCAGGAAAATACAAAAATAATAATCCTCTCTGTTGGAGTGATCCAGAAAATTTCTTGCAAAAGACAAGCAAGGATCAGGAAACACTAAGAAGCGTTTCATCCAATCAGCGTTCACTTGAAGTCTTAGCCAAAAATATCAAGCAATTGAGACGTCACATGTAGAGGTTCTGATTAACTGATTGTTATACTGCGACTATGTTTAGTAGCATTCCAGAATCTTCGAGCAACCCAAGGACATTGAAAAATATTATATAAAAACCCTATATTTTCTATATTAAAATGAACCTTGGAGTAAAGTACATCCGCATACTTTGCGTCTTCTTTCTCGTGTTCAGGTTACTGTATAGTTCTAATTTGGGGGTTACAGAATAGCTTAGAAAACGAATATAGCGTTCAATCCGCAAGACTTATCACTCTCAAGCATAAAATAAACACAAGGTAGTCTACAACTACCAATATGGCTCAGATCATTAGTCAATAACTTCCTGAACTAATACACTTTATGGTTTGGCCCCTCCTAGCTTTCCTCCAAATTATTCCTACGGATGCATTATTTTGCTAGCATGTCCTGTCTCTACAAGTATGTGCGACGCATTCCAATCACTGATAGACATTTCTACCGAGATAATTATTCTGAAGGCCCTAATTTATTACTTTTAATAATTATAAAAGAAAAATTACAAAGCCATGTGACTAACCGATTTTTTTTGAATGTTCGAGAGCATTCTTTTTGAAGATGATTAGTGGGGATTAACTGGTAGCTCACATTCCGAACGTGAAGCAGATTCGAATACAAGAAGTTAAGGCCTCACAGTGATAAAGACAGCTTGGAATAACACTGACATCTAAACTATTTGTAATATATATATTCGTATCTCGGTTAGTCTTAACTCAAGACAAATAAAGCATTCATTTCATCTTGGTTTATTATGGTACATCAATGAAAATTGCTAGTGGTGAAATATTAATTTAAAATCTTATGAAATTCCCACAAAACCATTTAGATTTAAATAAACATTGAATTATTCAAATGGACAATTTTCACATTTATCTCCAAAATGGTGAGATTATAGTCTATGGACGACTCTTGAGCGATGTTTAAACGACCTTGGAAATGCCCACTATTCACTAGGATCAAAAGAGGGTTGTAAATTAGTGTGAGGAATTAGGATTAGAATTTGCGGTTGAATGTTAGGATTAGCTAGGTTTTCTGCACGAACCAATCAGCTTTAATGATAAAATTCTATTTAGCCATAAGGATGAATGAATTTCGCGCTAAAATAAGTGCTTTCAAGTTATGTTTCACTATGCATTTCACTTTAAAACAGAATATTTTCGTCCTACTTGTTTTCATGATTCAGTGTTTTTTAATAAAAAATATATTAGGACTACTAATGTCATATTTGATTCTTATCTATTTCTTGTATTGAATTAGTTTGAAGACGTTTTAGCCACAATCTATTATCAACAATAGAATCATTGAAAAACAAGTAAAGAGATGACTCACCATCACCTATTCACGAGCTTAAATTGCTGAGGACTGTTACCCTTCAGGATTCAAAGCTAAGACGTAACATCTAGACGAACAAACTGCAATCTAATAGTCTACTTCAATCAGTATAGTATGTTTTCACAGATTTTGAGGAATCTAATGCTTTCCGTGCACATGAAAATTAAAACACTCCACCATAAATCGCTTTTTCAACTTTATGGCGCACCTATTGTGTTCTATTCACTAGTCAGTACTCCTAAAACCTTGTAGCACATTGTCGGGTTCATAAATAAGTCCTATTAAACCATCATTACTCAGATTCACCATTCTTATGTATTCATGAGTAATATGTTTACTGAAGAAAAACTTTTAGATAATGATATCTTCACATTTAATGGCATTGTATAGGTAATCAAATAAAATCGTTTGTCACTGGTGACAATGTAAGTTAAAACAAAAACATCGATAACTTATAAAGCCTATTTTTTCAAACATCTAACCTACTTTGAATAATGAGTAAACAAGTGAGCAATACAACATGATCGTAGTTGAGTGCATTTGCTTTGTGATGGCCCTGAAAAATGGAAACAGAAAACTGAATTTAACATGTGAAATATAAACAAGAATAATTGGGTAAAGAGCATACTTACTTGTGATAATAGTGAAAAAAACAAAGAAAATAATTGTCAAGAAAATGAAAGTTCAGTATTCTTAAAATTAAAACAGAAAAGTAATACTGATCAAGGTCAAACGGGTCAAAAGTTTTGAGAGTTCATAGATTGTATTGGAAATTTATTTCTCAGAATGGGTTTTGTGGAGATTTTAGAAATTTTATTGGTTGAAATCATGAGTCGATTGAAGCTAAATCACCATGGAAAACCTGAGAAGTCGTTACCAGTGGAGTTCA